GGGGGCTGTAATTGGAGCCATTTTTGTCAAAGGCTGAATTTGCTGAGTTGGTCAGAAAGGGAAGTGTGAGTAAAGCCAACGTGAAGTGGGCTAGTGACGGGGGATTGTAATACTGCTTATTGTCATAGAGGTGCAAGTGGAAGAAGGAGCCATTTTTGTTAAAGGCTAAGTTTGCTGAGTTGGTCAGAAAGGAAAGTGTGAGTTGGGGGTAGAAAGCAAAGGAGAAGTGAGCTAGTGATGGGGGATTGTTATACTGCTTATTTTCATAGAGTTGCAAGTCGAAGAAGGAACAAAAAATTTACTGGCTTATTTGGAAATGATGCTGGCGTTTTGTTGAAGGGGGACAAAGAGATTGAAAAGAAGATCATTTATTTTTCCTTATTTGTATTGTTTGACAACTTTGATATGAATCATAAATGCACTCGGGCTGAAAACAGATTTATAACGTTTGGATATTATGTTTTTGCAAGAACCCAAAGCCAAAGGATCAATTTTACAGATTTATAATTATTTAGAAGTTTGATAAGATGTTGCATTGGAGTTTTGATGGGCTGAAAGCAGCATATCCCATGGAAAGGTTTTCTAATCATTGGAAGGAGTAGTTTTGAAGCAAGATTTCTTACTTTGATATCTTGTAAACTTGAGGGTGAGTTATTGTGTGCGGGTTATTTTGTAATTTTGGGTTATTTGATTGTTAGTTAGCTTAAATCCTTTATAAATAAGAGATTCATTCTTTGTATTGGGAGACTTAAAATTATTGTGAACATTCCTTTGAGGATTCTTGAAGATTTCTCCTTTGATGCTTGGTTGCATAAAAAATGACGTCCAAAATTTCTTGTTCAGTTTGTCAGTAGCATTTCGAGATCAAGCTTGTTAGCAATACCTTTCTTTTTCTTTTTCTTTTTCTTTTTCTTTTTTAATAAGAAACAAGAAACTTGTATTAATCACAAAAGGACAGCCAGATCAAGGGAAGAAAAAAACCCCATCAAGGAGTTACGAGAAAACTTTCCAATTTAAGGAAATCATAAGACTATAGTTACAAAAGAATTTCTTTTGGTTTAAACTCCAGCAAGATGTCATTACTCTAAATTTGACTTTTCTTCAAAGATTCGTTAATTTATTTCTTTCAATGTGGGCCAAAGAAGCACTCTAATTGCACAAACCCACAAATTCTTAGCTTTTCCTCTAAAAGACATGTCCCTCAAATATTAGTCAACCAATCTTCAATTTTAAGAGGCATGCTCTAGTCACGAAAGGACAATGAAGGAGCAGATGATCTATGGACTCCTTATTTCTTAGATACAAAGTGCACACCGAGGGGAGAGGGCCCAATTTGGGAATTTTTCTTTTTTGCAATCTGTTAGCCATGTTCAAGCTTCTACAGCCAACAGTCCAAAGGAACAAATTCATCTTCTTTGGAACTTTAAGCTTCCAAATAGAATTAAGCAAAGGATCTTTCAATCTACTGCTGATTTTCATGTGGTATTGGAAAGTGGATTTGCAAGAGAACACACCATTTGAGTCAATGCTTCACCCCATTTTATCTATACCATTTCCCAAAGGAAAAGAATCTATTTTTCTGATAAGCTGGGTCCAAGCGTGAAGTTCCCAGTCAAAGCGTGATTACTGTTATCCAAACAATCTGCTATAGAGGCTCTTTTTTTTTTTTTTTTTGAAAGAACAGCATAAATTTCTGGAAAACAGGCAGCTAAAGAGCTGTCTGCAACCCGAATATCCTTCAAAAGCGGATCCTTTGGCCATTTACTTACTGCTCTGAACTTCATAAAATGGAGAAATCCTTCACTGTTCTTGTCAAAGTTATCCATGGTCTTCCTTTCGAACTCCCTATAGCTCTTTTTAGGTTTCCACGCCATACATGGTTGCAATGGTCCTTCAAAGAGCATTAGGTTCATTGGAAAATTTCCAGAACCATTTGATGAGAAGGGCTTTAATTCTATGAAATAGGGCACCTATTCCAAGACCATCTTAACTGATGAGGAGAGAAGTCTTCCATTTTACGAGGTTCCTTCCATCTTGATAATTTCTTCAAATATCTGTTGATTTCTTTCTCTCTCTTTTTTTCTTCTCTGTTCATCACATTAGCTGATTAGCAATAGCACAATTATTGATCATCTGTGTATTAGAAATATAGCAAATTGAAATTTATTTCTGATAGAAGTGATGACCTTCTTAGCCATTCTAAGAGAATCTTTCCAATGATTTTGGCTAATAGGTTTGGATTATTAACTGGTTTAGCATCGCATTTCTTCGGTATCAGAGGAGCATAAGTTTTGTTGAGACCAAAAATGATGACACTACTTAAAAGAAAAAAAAAAAAAATCATTGAATACTTCAACTTTTTGAAGAATTTCATAGTGAAATCATTTGGTCTTGGTGCTTTGTTGAAAGTTCAATCCCAAGGAGTTATTTGCATCAAGTATTTTTGCTAAAGAAAATAGCTCTTGACGTTTGACTATGGGCAGCTGAAATGAGAATCCAATGTCTACTTGGGAGAATATGTCAACCCTATATTTTGGTTTAAAGAGTTCATGAATTCATCATGGCTTCATCAAAGAGTTGGATCCTTCCATCGCCAAAGAGAATTTTCATAAATAGACCTTTCCTGTCGTTACAGGATGCATATTGATAGAATTGGTTTGGTTTTATATATGGAGGATCTTGAGTTCCAAAAGCAACCGAAAAAGAAAAGAAAAAGAGGAAGCTTATTTTTTGTTCTGTTTTGAGTAATTGTCTGGTGCATTTGGATGGAAAGAGCGTTAGAGTTGTAACTCAATTTGGGGACACTTCATTTCTAGTATATGCATGGTTCCCTAAATTATTTTAAAAAATTTTCTCATCTTTTGATGTCTAAAGATCGGGTCTTATTGTGTTATGGAGTCTATCATTTTATTGTCTTTAGAGTTATGATGCTCCTTTCATTTTTTAATGGTTGATCTTTTTCATGTCTCATGTCTCTATCTCTCACACACAGTAAAAATAAATTCAGCTAATTACCTTTTACTGCACTGTTCTATTGGTTAGAAAAAAGATAGCTTAATTTGCGTATTGATTAGTAACTTCTATTGTATAATTTATGCGACTGGCGACTTTTTGGGGTTTAGTTATGACTTGCATAAAAAAAATTAGCTTGATGCAATTGGGGGTCCTTTGTTAAGTTTTTCTTATAAAATAACAAAATATGTATGCTATTAATGATTACTTATAAAATTGTAGTACTTGGACTGGCTCCTCTTTGATTTATTGTCGTACTGAATTTTACATAATCTTTTCTGTGGGATCTCAGAGACAACTGTTCCATTGCCATGGGCAAGAAGAATGATGATAGCTCTTGGAGCAGCCAAGGGTCTTGCTTTCCTACACAATGCTGAAAGGCCCGTTATCTATCGGGATTTTAAAACCTCTAATATACTGTTGGACTCTGTATGTGAAATTTATTATGAACCAACATTGTTATTATTCTTTTTTCAAGCTTGTTCATGAGAGAATACTTCTCATTTGGCTCCACCTGGCCTATTATTCTGCAGGACTATACAGCCAAGCTTTCTGATTTTGGGCTTGCGAAAGCTGGACCTCAAGGTGATGAGACACATGTTTCAACTCGAGTAATGGGTACTTATGGTTATGCTGCCCCCGAATATGTCATGACTGGTACGATCTTTTCTTTGTGATTAGAACTTCCCACAAACTTTTCATTCGCTGATTTTTTCTTTTTACAGTTATGCAAATGTTAAGTTTTTGTATTTTGTGGCCTTTTGAAGTATTCCTGCCATCTTTATTGCTCTTTTTAGCCCGCCTTTTTATTTCAATGCGAAGCCATTTTCACTATAGGATCCTCTATGAAAGGGAGAGGCTGTTCTTACCAGGAACAAAATGCATATGAGCTCAAGGCTCCAAGAACTATTGGTAGAATTCAAAAAGGTTTTGATTTTGATTTTGTAGGTTTTTTCTCCCCTTCTCCCAATTGGACTTTGTTCCCTTGCTCTCTTGAAAATGAAAAGAAATCAATGCTCAAAAGATATAGACAAAAATAAAAAGACTATATATACAAAATTACTCTTAAACATCATTAGAGGTTAAAAAGATATGCTGAGAAGTTTCAATAATGATTTGAGATGGTTTCGTGACAAGTGGAATACAATATTAGAGGTTCTTCTATTTGCTTTTCAAAGAGATTTTATCATAAATTCATGCTATCCTGACAAAGCTCTCTTGATGGTAGAAGCTCCTGTAGTTATGGCCTTGTTGCCCCAAACAAAGGATGAACTACCTAAAAGGCCTCCATTTTAGTCTCAAAAGCAATAAACAATTATTTTTAACCACCATGGAAACGGTAAGCTTCTGATTTTAACCCAACCACCATAACGTGCCACCCAATCTGCCTCAATTTTTTTTTACATTCCATCTTTCAAGTATAAGGATGAAATTTCCATCTTTTTTCCATTTGTCCACAATTATCTGACCTTTATGAGATTTTAGTAAGGCTTTCTCAACTCGGTAAGGATTGATCAAGAAATCCTCCACAATTTCCCTTTTAAGCGTGTTGCAGAAATTGCCTTGCAATCATCATGACGCGTCGTGATCTTGAAATAACAATGTGTTTAGTCCACTTCAACAACTTCCACCACTTAAAAGATAATCCTTGAGTTGGAGAGTGGATATTGAGGTCAACATGCCACATTTCTATTCCCTTGGTATATTCTTCACATATAACTTTACAGTAATAGGCGTTTGTTATGACAGCAAGCTACAAAGATTATGTAGCATCGTTTACTGAACTTTCAATGCTGAATATGAGTAAGGTTTTTCTCTGATATAGTGAAGTACCACCTTATGGTTTTCATTGTCACCAAGCTTCCATTTTGAAACCTATAGGCCACTTGACAGCAAGGAGTGATGTATACAGCTTTGGTGTTGTTCTTCTGGAGCTTTTGACAGGAAGAAAGTCTGTTGACAAGACAAAACCAAGCAAGGAGCAGAATTTGGTAGATTGGGCCCGACCTAAGCTAAATGACAAGAGGAAGTTGCTACAGATAATCGACCCCCGATTAGAAAATCAATATTCGACAAGGGCAGCACAGAAGGCCTGCAGCCTGGCATACTATTGCCTGAGCCAGAACCCCAAAGCAAGACCCTTAATGAGCGATGTGGTCGAAACTTTGGAACCATTACAGAGCAGTAACGGTGCAACTGAATCGGGAAGTAGCCCATTTGTTAGGGGGGGCATCCCTGATTACAGGATGCGGCCAAGGTTCGCCGACAATGTTGGTCCTGGTGGTGCCAATTGCCGGTCTCCTAACCCCACCTGTTCCCCCAGCGTCCCTGCGGCTTGTAGGGTTAGATGAAAATGCATCTTGTTTATTATTTGGCTTGCTCTTTTCCTTTACTAAAATCAAAATCTCCACTGTAAACACTGTTGACCACCAACCTGGATTTGTAATATTTGGCCATGTGTTGTGTACAACATTTGCAAGTGTAATTATTATATGGACTAGTCGCTCTAACTTGCATGCCAAGCTGCCGCCCCTCGGATGATTGATATAGTTCTTGATCGGCCGCTGGATGTGCTTCTTAAAATTAGCCTTACACCTCTTAGGGGGTGGCTGTTTTTGTAAACTATCCTGCTGCATGTTACCGACATCCTGGGCTTCAGCAGGATCGATCTGATATTTTTCTTGCCTGAAATGTGATGTGTTTGTGATATTGGGATTTTGATTTTGTAATTAAACTGCTTGTTTTGTTTGATTCTTGGCTTCTTCATGGTACCCTTTGTCTTTATCTAATGTTTGAATATTTGTTTTAATGTTGGAATATTTTGTATAATTTATCACGATGCTGTCGTATCATTGACCCTACGTTCATAAATGTTTCTAAATTATCTGTTAAGTACAAATTTGTTAAAATGTTAGATAAAGAAATTCACGTGGAACGACTCGATAGTGGCTTAGATGCTTACTTAGATTATGTATATGAAAACTATGTTATGTCATATTATTTTTCATTCAATATTCTAACTTGATAGGTTAGAATTTTTTTTTAACCCAAAATTTAGTTGGTTGGGCTCGCGATCTGAGCAACTAGTTCTTCCAATATTCTTAATTTTCACAGTTAGGATAAGTTTGATTAACTTTCAATATTCCTAAAATTCAAATATCAAATATTCACCGGTTATGACCTTCTAATATTCTTAATTTTCACCGTTAGGATAAGTTGAGGAGTTGAATTGTAAATCTATTTTTGAGTTGATCGGATTAACTAGACCAAAAACATTTAATCCAATAAAAAATTTAAAACAAGATTTAATCCAAACGAATTTTTATGATTTTGTTTGGATATTCTAGGTTTGGAAGCTTTGGAATGATCAACCATTTTTCATCTGATGCTTGCTCAAGAAAATCTTCAAGCTTGTCTTCAATGGAGGTGGTTAGTATCAACTCAGCTTCTGAAAAAGCCTATTTTAGCAATAATGGTAACAATGGAAGTCGTCCCTCCCACTCAATGAAGGCGTAGTTAATGGGATAACAATAATTTCGGGCTTCATATCTCTGGCACGCAGTCGACCAAGTCAAGTGGAGCAATAGATTAGCTTCCGATGATGACGATGGCTGTGAAAAGGAATCCATAAATATCTATCGCTCACTCTATTGCCCGAAGAAGGAAGTTTCGAATACGCATTTGAATTGAATCTCGAGTTTAATTTGTGGGGCAGCCTAAACCTAATCCCGCTGAATGATAATTACATCCACCGGCCTGCATTCAAGTTCATTTCGAAGTGAAAAGGTCAATTACGATCAGGTTTTAATGATGAACCATTACTTGCTGTTCGATTGTAGTGGGATGGTTGATTGGCTTTTAAGACAAACCAAATCATTTCCATTTACAACATCAACCAACAAGAAGAAGGAATTATATCATCTTCTTCTTATGCTCCTCCTCCTTTTTTTGGCCAAACATTGTCTGTGAAGGCCGGAAATCGTGGCGATGTCGGCTGTGCTAACGCTGCTACTTGTGGCTTTCTTCTACGCCGGAATTGATACCACCATTTCCCTTACTCATTTCGGCGATTGTAAGTTTTTTTTCCTTTCATTTTCTCTGAAATTATACATTGATTTTTGGTTTGCTCACTGTGTACTCCCTTTATTTTTGTTCTTTCAAATACTTTCTTGTTCATATATGTATATATTTAAGGCAAATATGTAGTGTCTTTAACTAGCTACACTCAAGTTGTTCGTTGTTTGCTGTTTTGTTTTGTTTGTGTGTTTTTTAATATTGTGTTTCTTACTTTGTTTAAGAAAATGTATAAGACCAAGATAAACAGACAAGTTAAAGAAATTTTAAATTTAGGCTGGTTAAAAAAGATTAAATAAGAAGTAAAATCTTTGAAGTTATCTTGAGTTGGGGAAAGAAATTTTTGGAGTGTTGAATAGGAATAAAAAATGGTGGTTTTCCTATAATGAAGTACTTGGATGTTCCATGATTTGAGGGAAGCCAAAAAATGTGAGCGTCGGGAGCGAGCCTTACTAAAAAAAAGCCCCTCTTGAATAAAGCAAGGGATTGAGTAGCGTGAAAGCCACGATCAGACCCTTACACGGGCAATGTGTGGATCTAAGGGATGTAAACATGAGAAAAGTGGAGGAACGAAATTTGTATATTTATTTTGATTTAAAGTTCTGATATTAAAAAGAGAGAGAAGAAAGAGGAGAAATGGATAAAGTTTTAGAGATTGAGGAATGAAAGAAGGGTATTAAGATGCTATGCAAGAAGTGAGGGAAAAAAATGAGAAATGAGGCGTTGTTGAGTCATAGGTTGAAAGAAAGGAGCGAGAGAGAACCGAAGAAGAAGATGATCTATGGGACGTAGATAAATTGTTTCCGTTCATATACTAACAGTAAGAATTTTTAGAGAACGTTAAAGGGTAATAATGCAACTTTTGAAAGTTCATGACTATTTTTCGAATGTGGTACTAACGATTTCTAATTGATGAGCTTTGGAATAGAATGAAATATACGAACTGATGAGGTTTGGAATGTCGTTGGTGCAGCTGCGGCACTGGTGTCCCTGAAAAACGAATGGCAAAACACACCACCAAGCTGGGGAACATCAAATGATCCGTGTGGAACTCCCTGGGAAGGAGTGCTTTGCAACAATTCAAGAGTCACTGCACTGTAAATATCCTTTCCGAGGTTCACTTCTTTTCATTTTATATTTTGGTCAATCCTACTTACTGTGTTTGTCACCCTACTTCTTTAGGAGATTATCAGCTATGGGCCTAAAAGGTAAACTTGGTGGTGACATTGGAGGCCTGTCTGAACTAAAATCATTGTAAGTTGCATCAATCTCTGTTATGTTATGAGTACAAAATGCAACGACGTGACTTCTAACCATACGTATAAGAAAGGTTTCGTTCTTATGTATGATGCTTGTTCATCGAGATCCTGAGTTTCTAATGTTCTTATTACAGGGACCTTTCGTTCAATACAGATCTCACTGGTTCGATCTCTCCGGCAATAGGGAAACTACAGAATTTGAATATCTTGTAAGGAGTTAATTAATAAGGAAACTCATTTGATCCTATTAAACTTCTATGTCATTGTTTTTCTAGAGCTCAGATACTTTTTTTGTACTTTTAGGATCCTAGCTGGGTGTGGCTTCAGTGGCAATATTCCTGAAGAACTGGGCAATCTTTCTAAGCTATCCTTCTTGTGAGATTACATAGACAAATAAAATTTATTTATTGATAGGAAAACAAGGATTTTGTTTGTTTTTGCTTAAAGTGTAGTCTCATTTTATGTCAGGGCGTTAAACTCTAACAAGTTCACCGGTACCATACCGCCATCTCTGGGAAAACTCTCCGAACTCTATTGGCTGGACCTAGCAAGTAATCAATTAACAGGCAGTATTCCTGTCTCAACTTCTGAATCTCCCGGTTTGGACCTCCTTCTGAAAGCTAAACATTTGTGAGTGTTCTTAAAGGCAAAAGCAAATATATCCTCAAAATTAGATCCTATTACTTCCATGTTAAAAGCTTTCTCTGTGAATTGCAGTCATTTCAACAAAAACCAGTTATCGGGTTCCATTTCGCCTAAACTTTTTAGATCTGAAATGGTGTTAATACACATGTAAGTGGATATAAATCCAATACTGATCTGTTCCTTAATTCTTTTCTCCCAAATCTTACTCGATTTCGTTTATCAGATTATTTGATGGAAATAGTCTTTCTGGGAGTATCCCTCCAACTTTGGGACTTGTAAAGACCCTTGAGGTTCTGTGAGTACATGTACTAAACTTTTTTTCTCTCATAATTTTATCTCTACAACTTACTGAGGCTGTTCAAATATTATGTAACAGTCGACTCGATCGAAATTCTCTAACAGGACCAGTCCCATCAAATCTGAACAACCTAACAAATGTCGATGAATTGTGGGTACTCTTCTAACGATTACGTTAGTGTTTTATCGATAATCTGAACAACCAACTTTATTTTTCGTCTCTTCTATTCTGTACTTGTTTCAGGAATTTAGCCAACAATAAGTTGACTGGTCCAATGCCAAACTTAACTGATATGTACTCACTAAATTATGTGTAAGCATATAGCAAGGAGTTATCATTTCCATTATGATCTTACCTTAGTTCATTTATGGTGACTTTTCTTTTGTCATTACGTTGTCTTTACAGGGACCTTAGTAACAACTCATTTGATTCATCAGCAGCTCCGGAATGGTTCTCAAATCTACAATCGCTCACCACTCTGTAAGTTCAAGCTTATCGTATGTTTTCCGACAATTCGGATAAGCGAGAATTTTTTAGAAGTTTTTGAAATGTTTGACATGTCATGATAAATGTTTGTTCTAACATGATTCCAGGGTTGTTGAACATGGTTCAATACAGGGATCTGTGCCACAAGCAGTCTTTAGCTTACCACAAATACAGCAAATGTAAGCTTTGATTTAATTATAAGACGTTGAATTACGAATTGGAACAAAAATGTCGATTTAATATTTTGAAAAGTTCGTTTTAGAAAACTGAAGAACAATTCATTCAATGGGACATTAAGTATGGGTGACACAATTAGCCCACAGTTGCAGCTTGTTGATCTGCAAAGTAACGGTATTTCCGAGTTTACCTTTGGTTCAGAATATTCCAGAACTTTGATGTGAGTGAAATCCTTGCCATTTTTCTTAATGTTAGATTTCATTTTGTTCTTTCACTTACCTTTATTCATTCACATGAATGGTTCTTGTTTTAGGCTGACAGGGAATCCTGTGTGTACCACTGATAACACCCTCTCAAATACGAAATATTGCCAGCTTCGAGATCATACGACACAACCCTATTCCACCAGCCTTTTGTACTGTGGAAGTAAGTTGTGTCCTCCTGCTGAGAGGTTAAACCCTCAGAGTTGTGAATGTGCCTTTCCATTTCAAGGGACTTTATACTTTAGAGCACCCTCGTTCAGGGAATTGTCGAACGTGACGTTGTTTCACTTATTGGAATCGAGTCTTTGGACCAAACTGGAGCTGACGACTGGTTCAGTTTTTATTCAAAACCCTTTCTTTAATGTTGACGATTATCTTCAGATGGAGCTTGCTCTTTTTCCGCCCAACGGGAAGTATTTTAATAGGTCGGATATTCAGAGGATTGGGTTTGCCTTGAGTAATCAAACTTACAAACCTCCCAAAGCATTTGGGCCATTTTATTTCATTGCATCCCCCTATGGTTTTCCAGGTAATCTAATCTTAATAATGATTTCTACATAAAAATGTTACTCAGCTGTATGACTACGATGAACTGATTCTAAAAACATTGATGCCTTTAAGACAATGCAAGGCGAACTGAAGTCAGCTCTGTAGTGATAATTGGAGTAGCTATTGGTTGTGCCATTCTCGTTCTAGGACTCATTGGAGTTGGAATATACGCGATTCGCCAAAAGAAACGTGCAGAAAAGGCCATCGTATTGAGTCGGCCATTCGGTAAGCGATGTTAATCACTGTTGCTTTTATGACCATCCATACTTTGTAGTTACATGGTTAACACTAATTTTATAGCTTCTTGGGCACCAAGTGGAGACGATAGTGGAGGTGCTCCACAGTTGAAGGGAGCTAGATGGTTTTCTTATGATGAACTTAAAAAATGCACAAATAGTTTCTCCATGAGCAATGAGATAGGATCTGGAGGATATGGCAAGGTAAATGTACAAATGAACGATTGTTACTGCTTTCTTGTTGTTCTTTTTCTCGTACGACGTGCTTCAGAGTTGTTTTATCACTGTCATCATCCATTGTAGGTATATAGAGGAGTGCTCGTGGATGGACAAGTAGTTGCGATCAAACGAGCTCAACAAGGATCAAGGCAGGGTGGCATCGAGTTCAAGACAGAAATCGAACTGCTTTCACGAGTTCATCACAAAAACCTTCTTGGCCTCATCGGATTTTGTTTCGAACAAGAAGAGCAGATGCTTGTTTATGAATTCATGCCTAATGGAACATTAAGAGATAGCCTATCTGGTAAGTTTTCTCAGATCTTTTGGGGTGTGGAACTCATTTTATGTTAGAAAAATGACCTGAAAATGAAGTTAGGAACATTAGATTCTAGATTCTTTTTACTACTCAATACCTTGATGACTATATCTCTAGCAAGTAACGACAACTATTATACGATAAGCCTTGTCCCCTAGGATTAGTTCGATAGCTCGATCCAACTTAGCCATGTTTTTAACTGTTTCTCACGTTGAGATGTATGGCTTAACTAGTTGAGTTCTGTTCATGTTGACCGTTAAGAATATTTAATTTCAAATAACACGTGCAACATTAAATTTAGGAAAATCTGGTATTATTCTTGATTGGAAGAGACGACTTCGTATTGCACTTGGGTCGGCCAGAGGATTGACTTACTTACACGAACTTGCTAATCCTCCCATAATCCATAGAGACATTAAATCGACCAACATTCTTTTGGACGAACATTTAAATGCAAAAGTTGCAGATTTTGGCTTGTCCAAGCTCGTCTTAGACAGTCAAAAGGGGCACGTTTCTACTCAAGTTAAAGGAACACTGGTGAGTACGTTTTCGTTGTTTCGTCAAGCATTTTACCATAAATTATCGATCACGATATAGCATGGACGAGAAAATCTTAGTCTACTTGGAAAACTAAATTATCCGCTTAAAAACTTCACTTTCTTCGATCTGTTCGACTAATTTAGATCATTATGATTGTCTTTCATATTTGTAGGGCTATTTAGATCCTGAATATTACATGACTCAACAATTGTCTGAGAAAAGTGATGTATATAGCTTCGGAGTCGTTATGTTGGAATTGTTAACCGCTAAGCTGCCTATTCAAAAAGGAAAGTACGTAGTTCGTGAGGTGCGTACGTTGATGAACAAAAATGAAGAAGAGTATTACGGTCTGAAGCAGATCCTGGATGCCGCCATCCTAAACAACACCACGGCTATTACCGGGCTTGGAAAGTTCTTGGAGTTGGCTATGCAATGCGTTGAAGAGTCAGCTGCAGAGCGCCCCACAATGAGCGAAGTGGGTAAGGCAATTGAGAGTATTTTGCAGAGTGATGGAATAGATACAAACGCGACAACTCCATCCACATCTGCTACTGAGTTTGGGGCTTCCAAAACTGCTCCTACGCATCCCTATAATGATCCTATAGCAAAGGACACTGATGACAGTAAGGCTTTTGATTACAGTGGAGGACACACTCTTCCAACAAATGTGGAACCCAAATAGAAATGGTGTTCATCATTTCTTGTGGAGTTGTAAGTATTTTATGCATTTTAGGATTTGTGTTGCACATGAACATATTTCTGATGTTGGTTATGCTTTCCTTGAACGACGTCATTTTCGTAATGTCGAGTTGTCGATTGGCCCGTGACGTTTGAAAGTTAATTTATTTGTAATCTGTGATTTATTATACAAAAGCACTGTTCATGAATGGCCTTTTCTTGTTCTTCTCCTCTAATGGAGTGTTTGTCACGTCGACCATTGTCGATCTCCCTTCTTCGGTGCAACCCTCTTCCCTTCTCTTTTTCTTGTTTTCCATTTTTGTAACGGCTCAAGCCCACCGCTAGCAGATATTGTCCTCTTTGGACTTTTCCTTTTAGGTTTTACGGTATGCTAGAGAGAGGTTTTTCACACCCTTATAAGGAATGTTTTGTTTTCTTCTCCAATCGACGTGGGATCTCACACTGTTTCGTTCTCTTCTCCAACAAGATGTACTTTTTTTGGTGGTTCGATCATAAATTTTTTTAAGTTACTTGGCTTGGAGCGATTTTATAGGAAGTATGTGTGTGAGAACAAAGTATGTTGAAATGACTCAAAACTGAGACGAATCATGTTGTTTCCTTAGTTTTTAGTCTATTGGAAGGGAACCTCTTGGGACTTGGTGTAATAGCTCGAGGGCACCGCTAGTAGATATTGTTTGCTTTAGTTTGTTACGTATCATCATCAGCCTCAAGGTTTTAAAACGCAATTACCAATGAGAGGTTTCCACACCCTTATAAGAAATACTTCGTTTATCTCTCTAAACGATGTGAAATCTCATAATCCACCCCATTGGGGGCCCATCGTCCCCACTGACACATCGCTCGGTGCCTGACTCTAATACCAGCTATAATAGCTCGAGATCACCGCTAGCTGATATTATCTGCTTTAGCTCGTTACATATCATTATCAGTCTCAATACTTCGTTTCCCTCTCCCACCTCCGAGGTGGGATCTCGTAACTAATTCTAAAACCTCAATCAAACCATGTATGTTATAATCGTTCTCTATTTGTTAACCCGGGACTTGTTATTAATACATCAGTTATTTAATCTTGGATAAATGACGTCATATTTATCTTGAAGAAATGTTTGCAATTTTTATAATTTAAAGCGGTTTATTAGGTAATATAATATAAATTGGCGTCACATCCACGACATTAGAAACCTACTTGTAGTTCACGCGAAAATGTGGCGCCCCTAAATTTGATTTCCGTGGAGTTTAACTCGCCGCCATGCCGTGGTGCCAAATACCTAGACATGCACTCTCGTGAAGAATTTTGAAGCTTGCAGTAGAGAAACTTCGCTGGAGCAGGAATTACTCTGGAGTTCGCATCGCAGCTGGATTTTATGACCTGATTGCTTCCAATTACCATAAATTGATGGGTGCTACAGCAGGAAGCATGGATCCGGATGCTGGTTCCTCCGAAAATGCTCAACGTTGGGCGAGGTTTATAGCCACATGCTTGATTGGAGGGACAGTGATCGGGGTGTCGTTACTCGGCTTACATTTGGGGATTCCTCATCAGCCGTCGCTGAAGATATGGCGGAGGAAGAAGAAGCCCGTTCGTGTATACATGGATGGATGCTTCGACATGATGCACTACGGCCATTGCAACGCCCTCCGTCAGGCTAGAGCCCTCGGCGATCAATTGGTCGTAGGTGTCGTTAGCGATGCTGAAATAATTGCCAACAAAGGTCCTCCTGTTACTCCTCTTAACGAAAGGTTGTTGTTCTATCTTATTTTTCTGTTACTCCTCGCATCCCTTCTGCCCTTTTAGCTTTGTTGTGAACTTGTATGTTTGCGTGTCTATGCCATTTCAAGCCTGTCTCATGCGAATGGTACCATTTCTTGTGTTTTTTTTTGCGAACAGCGATGGATTTCAGTTTCTCAATGTAGTTCGCCTTGAACGTACTCTTCATGTAATTTTCCGTATTTGGAGGATGAAAACTGATACGTACTTAATCCTTATATATGTTTTAGGATGATTATGGTCAATGCCGTTAAATGGGTTGATGAAGTTATTCCGGACGCGCCATACGCCATAACTGAAGATTTCATGAGAAAGCTATTTGACGAGTACAAGATAGATTATATCATTCATGGCGATGACCCTTGTGTTCTCCCTGATGGAACTGATGCTTATGCTCTAGCTAAGAAGGCAGGTCGCTACAAGCAGATCAAGCGCACAGAAGGAGTTTCAAGCACGGATATTGTAGGTTGGTATTCGACTGCCGTTTAATTAACTTCATAGCGCGTGGAGATCTGTTCAGCATCTTTGTCAGTAACTGTTACCACTTTGTTTTCTTACTCCAAATGATTTTGTTGCTTATTATTTTTTTCAAAGAAGGTCAGACTTGTAGAATTTCCTCTGGCCTAGTTTGTTGTATTTTTCTTTACGTAAAAATGGAATAATAATAATAATTACAACAGAGAATTCCAAAGGGGGGACGTCGTGGTGAGAAAAGGGATATATAAATGATAAAAGACTTGGTGGGAATGGATTTAACCCATGGTAGCCACCTATCTATAATTTAATATTCTATGAGTTACCTTAACAAATAAACGTAGTAGAATTAGATGGTTGTCCATTGAGAATAGTTGAGATGTATGGAAACTGGCCCGACTCATGGATATGAAAAGAGAAAAATCAATTTCAATAGAGAACTCCATTTGCTATATAAATTTGCAAAACGTGAAACAACTTCTTGGGTCTTAACATTTTACTGCATGTTAATTTGATAAACTTGTATAAATGTTTGGACCAAAGAAATTCTTTAAGCCAGACTAATCCTTGAAATCTTCTCCTTGATTGTTTTATCCTGTTTGATTAGTCTTTTTGATAATATCATAACATGTACAGGTCGCATGCTTCTTTGTGTAAGAGAGAGGTCTATTAGTGACACTCAAAATCATTCGTCATTACAAAGACAGTTCAGTCATGGTCATAGCCAGAAACTTGATGATAGTGGATCTAGAAGTGGAACTCGCGTCTCTCATTTTTTACCAACTTCTCGTAGAATTGTTCAATTTTCCAATGGGAAGGTTTGTACTTCCCCTCAATGCTAGTTGTTTGAATCAATATGGGCTACTGGTAGTGTCTCTCTCTAAATTTATTTATATTTTTGTACATTTTTGGAAGTCTTCAGATTTAAGTTTATGTACTAATATATAGGATGTAGTTGTGATTTTCTTTTTCCTTCTCTATTTTTTTTCCCCAATATCTATGATATTGAATCCACCCCACGACCACGAGTAGGATTCATGTGCCCTAATGCTAGTTTAGAGAGACTTGAACGAACTTTGTGCCTGGAAGCTTGAACCTATGACTTTGGGAACTTCTCTCCTCACATATCAAGCTCTTACTACTACAGTTGTCCCCACAAATGATAATTTTGGTTTATGATGTTATATGATACAAATGATGAAATCATGGTTGAAAGGTCAACTAGTTCAAAGGAGTGTTTCCTTTTTTTTTTTCTCCTTTCTTGAGATCATTCTTTGATTTAATTATTTATTGGTTCCTTTCATGCAGTTTGTGTATGGATGGTTTTATTGATCTTTTAATTCATAAATTTAAAAGATTTTCCATGTTTTTCTATTTCTATCTTGATGATATGACATGAATTAGATGGGAGGTTGTCTCAAAGCCAACTGAGTAGGGTGGGTCAGCCATAGAAATCTAAGAGTACACAAAGGCCCTCTAGCTACTTATAGCCTCTCTCTTTGCAGCACAAGACATTGTAAGCATATATACAGTGCTTGTCCTTTTGAGTGGGGGACTATTCATGGGTGAAAGGCACTTTTGGAACTTTCATCAACTCCCTTTGTGAATTTATTTAGTTTCAATCGATGATGGTATGGACACTTGTGCTTGGGAATATTGGTGATAGGAGATACCGCTTCATTGTTGTTTCCCACAACTTAATTTCTTGTCTTCTTCGGAATTTTCTTCAATTTCCCATGTCCTACAAGAAATGAGATTTGATTCTGGTTATTTCCACTTTGTTTTTTTGCAATATGTGAATTCTTGATTTCTTTATTACAAGGCTTTTGCTTTCAATCTCAATACAAGAAATGAGGAAGGTTAGTGTTTTTTGCCAAGCGAATCATTCATGATGAGATTAACATTATGGATTCAATATAGAGGCCTCTCTCACTCCTTTTAGGTCCTCAGGGGTGAGCGCTGTGTAAAAATGCCTTGGGAGTACTTGGCTTTTGTGTCACATAGGTAGAGGTGTTGTTCCTTTTGGAGGAAAGGGAGGTCTTGGAAGGAGGTTTGATCCACAATAAGATTGAATACCTCTATCCACAGTATGGTTTGTCATTGAAAAATATATTTTAGTCCATGTACTTTCATATCATAAAGAGTTCACCTTAGTCCCTTTATTTTAAAAACGTTCCTTTTAGTCCTTGTTTTTTTTTTTTTTTTTTTAAATGTGTTCATTTGGTCCCAGCTGTTAGTATATTATTAAAAATCTAATTACTTTTTAAAAAAAATATGTTCCTTGTTTTTTTTTTCAAATATTCAAAAGGGTTAGAATAAAATTATCACAATATGTCCTTGCTTGTGGCTGCAGGGGCCAGGACCAGATGCTCGCATTGTTTATATAGATGGTGCATTTGATCTTTTTCATGCTGGACATGTGGAGGTAAATAATGGTTCTTTTTTTTTAATGTTCGTGGATATTTGATCATTGGTACACTTTTTTACCGCTTGTTATTCTTCCCCTCCTTATCACTGGAAAATGTTTGGGTTGGTTTTGTTCAATTGTTTTTGGGCTTAAATTATTTCAAGGTTGCATTTGATAGGTTCCTAAAGTGTCTAATAGATTATTGAACCTTCAATTTTGTGTCTAATATGATCCTCAAATTTAAAGCACCTGGGAATTTAGCTTTTAATGCTCCTAGTCTGCATGTTGAGGATGCCGTAATTAATGAGAAGATGAGCTGTCGACCTTTAATGAATCAATAGTTTATAATGATCAGATAGATGCTCTGTTTAATGTCATGTTCGATGCAATTAAAGAAAGGAATTCGTCCAAGGCTAATGTCACATATTTGAACTTATTATCGTGTTTCATAGATTTTGAAGCATGCCCGAGCTATGGGAGATTTTCTTCTGGTTGGAATACATACTGATCTGAATGTCAGGTGACATCTCTCGCATGAGTTTATTTATATCGTCTGTCATTTGGTGTTTCAATATATTAAACTAATTTGCAATCTTGAGCGCAACTTCATCGGTTTCCAACTCATTGCCATATCATAATTGGTTATTTGTAACTTTTCAATCATCAACGAAAGTTTAGTTGCTATTAATCGGCATTTTTTACGATTTGTGCATGCATTTTTTTATCTAAATTTTTTGCAACACTGAGTGCTCTATGTGAAGAAAACAATATCAGAACATGTATGTCGATTCTTTATGCATGCATATTGTTTAACTAGATGCATTATATATGAAGAAAACAAGACCAGAACATGCTCTTAGAGGAGGTAGGTTGACTGAGAGTTGAGAGCCTTCTCACTTCCTATCCATTAAAGCTGTTTCCATCTGTAATACCTAAATAATTACCATGACTTAACTAAGTTATGTACGGCAAGTGAATCTTGATAAATTTTTATCATATACCCAATACAAAGTAAAATATTTTGTTTTCTTGAGATATATTTTCTCTTCAAAGATGGTTGTGTTTTTCTTGTCTGTGATTTCCTTACAGTGCTAACAGAGGAGCTCATCGCCCAATAATGAATCTGCATGAGAGAAGCTTGAGTGTTTTGGCATGTCGATATGTGGATGAGGTGATAATAGGTGCACCTTGGGAAGTTTCTAAAGACATGGTCAGTTTAATTTTGTGTTTGTCGACTCGGTCACGTTTAATGCAGTTTAATTATTGTTTCTAGCTTTAATATATGGGTATTTTAATCTTCAAAAGAAACAAAGAACGTGGTGGTGGCAGTAGTTGGATAAAAGATGCTAGTAATGAAATAACAGTTGCTTGGAAATGAATGTCCAAAAGATGTCTGTAACCTACGTACTGAGCAGCAGCTGTCTTTCATAAATTGTTGGAATTGAGATGGTGAAGTTTTAAATTCTCACGTCAGCTTGATTTTATTTGTATTTTCTCTTGCTGCAGATTACAACTTTTAACATTTCATTGGTAGTACATGGAACTGTAGCCGAAATTAATGATTTTCAGAAGGTATGATTGTAATGTACAACGACTATGGATTTCTATTTTTATCGTGTTCTGGATTTTTCTCTTTTTGGTGGATGTTAAATAACTATCAAAGGCTTAACATTTTTCCTTTTACAGAAGGAAGGTAATCCATATGCTGTCCCTATTAGTATGGGCATCTTCAAAATTTTAGACAGCCCGCTAGATATCACAACAACCACTATTATTAGGAGGATTGTATCCAATCACGAGGCATACCAGGTTATCTGATCTTTCCTATCTAAATATTACTGGTGTTAGATAACTTGCAACTATTTTTTCATGTAAATCTGGTTCGTTATTGTTAATGATCACAAAATAAAAAGGGGTAGACATGCCTTTATGATAACGGAATGATCGTTGTTTGATGTTCTATCTATTGGCGAAGAACCTCCTTTTGGTACAAAATAAAATTGGTAGAATAAGAAAATACAGAACTATAATACCTCAAATAGTAAGAGGAACTTGGAAACCTCCTTTTGAGTGAACTTCTAGCCTAAACCACGTACCATTACATGCTTTTAAGTGTATCTCTTCCACTTCACTCTATTGAGAGGAATATTATAAATTTTTGGAATTGGAGAAATTGCGGAGGTTTGATCACCTGATAGGTTTAATGCCTCTATTTGGGAGTTCGGTTCCGAATAATTTTTTTAACTGCCCATTAGGTTTTATTACTTTGGAGTTTGGATTGGAGCCTCCCTGTTGTATAGCTAGGCAATGAGCTTCTTTTCATGGAAAATGGAGTAAGGAAATATTTACGCGACAGTGTAGTTGGGCGTGAGATGTACTTTTGCAAGTATTTGGTCATTTCTCCAGTTGACTTGATACAATCAGTACCTATTCTTGAGTTTCCTTTTGTCTGTTCATAGAAACGTGGAGTTCCCCACCGATTTCACCTTCGCTAGGAAAAAAGTGTGAGTTCAGGAAGCAGTCGTTGTCGTAGCGCTATTTTGTAACTAGAGGAGGTGAAGTCTGTTTTCGTCACATGGTTAGGATGAGCTGGGTGTTGGAATGAAAGGTGGGACACAAGGCGTGGTAGCTGTAGTTAGGTTAAGCTAGATAAGCACTCTAGTGCAAAATACAAAAACTACCCCTTGAATCCTGTTTGAATTTTCGTCTAATCGTTCATATAGCTAGCTTATAATCAACGTTACGATTTGAATATCATAGGTTGTTCCTTTGTTGACATGCTCCACTATCTTCCTTCCTATTATGAGTTCTAATGACAATAAAATTTTATGCAGAAACGTAATGAAAAGAAGGCCAATAGCGAAAGAAGATACTATGACGATAAGGCTTATGTTTCGGGTGATTGACTTTGTCAAATCCTCACCATTAGTGAAGTTTTGCACGGTAAAGATGAGTATCTTGGGCATTTTGCATGCATGCGTACTGTTTTTTATGACTATTCCACATCTTTGCAAGGATGTATAAAAGAGACATCAAATGTTTGACGATTTTTTTAAGGATGTAGCTATATTTCACGACTTGGATCTAATGACTATTCTTTCCATTCCTCTAGATATCTGATGCTAAATCGTCGCTCGTTTCCTTAGTTCTTTGATAATCAAATCCGTTGTATATGTTAACATGTGTTTTTTTTAAGCATAATATAAATATGTTCACATATCGAATGTTTGATGATTTTTGAAGTAGCTATATTCCATGACTCGAGTATATAATGTTCATTCTTTTCACTTCGATATTTGGTGCTAAATCGTCGCCTTAATTCTTTTACATTTTGAAAATGTATGAAAATGAAATAAATTTATTTTCTTTCAAACCATTTGAAAATAAAATACAAAAATCCTTGCATAACATTTGCATAACATTCAGTACAGCTACGAAATATTTTGGATGCCCTTCCTTATCTCTCGGGCTGTAAAATTTTCACACTTATTACGTGACACCTGAGTAAAAAAAAGGAATTATGAGAATATGATGATTAATTTTTTTTTTTAAAGAATTGGACAACAAACTTTCTTTTTCGATGACCCGATCATAGAAATTCGAAGGTTAAACAACTTAAAGCAATTTCCAACTTTTAAAAATTTCTCAGCCTAAACTATATAAAAAAAAATGGAAAAATGGTTATTAAAAGTGAGTTTTTATGCAGATAAGTAAATAAAGTATATCTAAATCTTTATTTTACTATTTAAAATAAGATTATATTTACGTTAAAAAAGATAAAATATAACCGTACAAAATCTAAAATGAAACTTAAAAAACTAAAATAAATGTATTTAATGGAATAAAAATTAAATTAATTTAGATATTGAATGTCCTTTCCACCCATTATAGTTTTTCTAAAAAAGATTTTTTCATTGAGTTTAAAATTTATATTAAAATTAAAAAATAAAAAAAAAAACCCACACACAATTTAAAAATAAACATTTTATTTTATTTTTTAAAATCAAATTTCATTCTATTCTTTTTATATAAAACACTAAATAAAAACTCTATCTTTTAATTTTTAACAATAATTTAAAATTACATTTTAAATTTAAATCCATTAAAATTTTGAATTTAAAATAATAATTGAAATATTTGTTTGAACGAAATTAAATATTTGATTTTTTTTGGTTAAATATTCTATTAGTTAAAAATTATATTGAAATCTGTAAAGAATTAAAACTATTTTTTAAAATCAATTTTATATATTTTTAAAATAAATAAAGAAGTAAAAAAAAAAAAAAGAAAAAAAAAAAAAGAAACGTGCAAAAACAAGAGTGAAGATCGCCTGCCTTCCCGTTCGTTCCGCTGTATTACGCCGAAAAAAAAAAAGGAGAAACAAAAAAAATTAGCACTCAATCTCTCGTCTTTTTCCGTCTCTCGTTACCCTAAATTTTCCCCTAAATTTCCCTGCAGATCGATTCTCTAATGATCGATTAGTGTAGCTGAGAATAGATCGATTTTTACCCTAAATTTCAGAATCCCGCTCTCTGCTTACCCTAATTTTAGAGGAAACTGCTGATTGATTCGTCCATGAATTAAAAATCAGATGTCTGACGGTAAGCCTTCCGTTCTTCTGTGATTGATTCCTCGTTTGTAGCGCAGTTCGTCTGTTCTGCAGGTGATGCTCGTAAGTACACAAGCACAATCTAAAGGAGAACAGGAAATTGGGAACAATTCAACAGATTTATCAGGTTTTTTTTTTTTTTTTTTTTTTCGCTTTTCAATTTTACGTTTGCTATGATATTCTTTGGTTCCTAGTAAAAGTAAAACGAAAAGAGCATCTCTGTTATCTGAAACCTAGGCATTGAATCTCCGAGGACCATGCTTCCCCCATTTTCCTGTGAAATTTATTTGTGTGATTTTATCTGTACGACTCTTCATTTAGTCAAGTCGTCTCATCAGTTGACATTTTATTACACTTGGTAAGTGAATAACTGTAGCACTTCCCAGTTGGGCTTTCCACTGTGTTATATATCTGTGCCCCATACGTTACTGGTTTACTATTGGTCTCTTTCAATTTCAGCTGTTTTTTCCTGGATTAGGATCAGCGCGATATTATCTTGGGTACTTACGTTTTCTAATTTTGTTTAATAGAGAAATCTTTTTATTTAGTTTTTAAATTATGTATCCGTTCCACTGCCTATGAATGATTATTATGTGGTAGTTTTCTGACCTCGTCTGAGTTATACTCTGGTAGTTAGAGGATGTAAGCTAAGGAAAGTGACCATGCATCCTAATTTTATTGCCAGATATCTTGGCAGGTGCCTGATAAAACTGGTGTGCAGTTATCTGGAGAGGTGGTCCTCCACGTGCTACGTTCAATATGGACCCTGAACTCTATAAAGCGCGTATCTTCATGCAAGAGAAAATGTAAGCTTTATCATTATATATCTATCCTTGATGAGTACTTCAGGTCTTCAGGGGCTGTATCTTTTGTATATGTGCCTCCTTCTGTCCCTTAACTGCACCTGCCCCCCTACTTTACATAGCTTCTGAAAACCCTAATGACTTATAGAAGGATGCATACACGTTGTTCTGCTTTTTTCTCCTAAGCTTTGTTTGTGTGACTGGGGATAGCCATTACCACTCGCTTTCTTCTTTAGTGCTGGGGAAGGGAAACAATTATTTATCGGGCTAGATCATCATTTACTTTTTTTTTTTTTTTTTTGTCAGGTTAAGATTGTTTTTCTATAAGATGTTGTAGCTTAAGTTACATTTTGGAGAAATGATATTGCAGCATAAACTTAATTTGATAAAAAAAATTTAACATTTATTTGCTTTTCCTATTATTCTTATCATCATTTTTATTTGTTTGCATGTGTCAAGCTAGACTGAATTTTAACAGGCATTGTTATCAACTTATTTTTGCCTTGCGCCTCTCAAGCATTGGTGACTTGTCATTTTGTTGATACCATGTTATTTTTAGTGTTTAGTTGGTTTTCAAGTTTATATGATCATAGATTCTAGTTCTTGATCAGTAGGACTTTTTAGACCTTAATTTTGTAGTTTATATATGATAATTTTTCATTTTCCAGTGAATTGTTGCTTCAGAAATTTTTGGTCTTGCCAGTTAAAATGTTTGGTCTTCTGCTTTTCAGCTTTGAGATCTTATTACAGCGGCATCAACGACCCATTGATGAAATACAGAAGCTGAAGTTTAAGGATATCGTGAAGCGCTTAGAGGAGGGCCTTTTTAAAACTGCTCATACAAAGGTCTCCACTCCCAACCCCACCCGATTGTAAAAAAATTTCTTTACCACTAAACATAGTTTGGAGAGACCACCTCTTATGTGGTTTTATCTTTTATGTCTCAAATAACCAAGCATGTTAACTTTTTACCTACTGTGGTGCTAAATAACTTTGGTGTTCATCGGTTTTTTCTATGAATAACTTTTGCTGTTATGCTAATATGACATAGGATGACTATATGAACCTGGATACACTGGAAACTCGTTTGCATAATTTGATCAAGCGCTCGCCTCCAAATAATCAGAACCAGCAATATCAACAGGTGGTTAGTTCTTCTTCTACAATAAGTCAGATGATTCCAACTCCTGGTATGGCTCACAGTGGGAATTCAAAAATGATGGTTGCGTCTTCGGATGATTCCGTTATTTCTACTAGTGCTAGCTTAGCACCTACGACTGTTAGCACAGGAAGCATCATGCCTACTGGTGGAATAAATGGTGGCTCCTTCAACAGAGCTGACGGTGCTTTCCACTTATTAAATTCTTTCTCCATGTCAAAAGGTCTGCTTTTATGAAAAATGTACTAATATCTTCCTTTGCAGGTCCCTTGTCGAATGGATATCAGCAGTCTCCTAGTTATTCGGTTGTTTCTGGTGGAACTATATCATCTGCTGGTGCACAAAGAATTGCTAGCCAAATGATTCCTACACCTGGCTTTAGTAATAATATTAACCATATAAGCAGCAACCAGTCTTATGTGAGCAGGGACTCTTCCAGTAATGGTAGTGGCCTTCCCAGTGTTGAACCGACAGGGTTGTCTCAAGTGCAATTGCAAAAGCAGCATATTGGTGGTCAGAACAATCGTATATTACACAATCTTGGTAGCCAAATGGGTAGTGGAATAAGGTCGGGTTTACAGCAGAAATCTTATGGGTTTACAAATGGAGCTGTAAATGGTAGCTTAGGATTAATTGGTGGTAATGTACAACTTATGAAAGAATCTAGCACCTCAGAGGGCTACCTAGCTGTCCCGTCTTATGGTAATTTAACCAAACCTGTACAACAATCCTTTGATCAGAATGAGAAATCGTTGGTGCAAGGTATAATCTCTTTCTTATCTTTATTGGCTCCATCTTTTTTGTCTAGTAGTTCTTGATGAAATATCACTTCATGACATGATTTGTGATCGATCAATTTCTTTATGCAGGTGATGGATATGGAATGAATAATAACGATTCCTTTGGGTCCGAAAATCTTTATGGTTCTGCAACATCTGTTGGATCAATGATGACTGCTCACAACTTGAACTCGGCCAATTTGTCATCTATATCTAAAACCAGTTCATCTTTCTCCTCTAACCAGTCAAATTTTCATGGAGCTCAACAGGGTACTCACTCCCCCCTCATTGATGGGTCAGATAAGATGAATTTCCAACCTCCGCTATCTTCCAGGGAAAACATCATTGATTCTCATACACAGCAGCAGTTTCAACAATCGCATCACCAATTTCAACCACAACTATTTCTTCAACAATCGAGTGTCCAGAAACAGCAAATTCAACCTCAGCAGCACCTATTGAATAATGATTCTTTTAGTCAGGTTCAGTTAGTGTCCAACCTAGGAAGTCATGTGAAACAGGAACCTGGTGGGGAGCATCACAGTGGGCCTTATCAACCACAAGTTACTGAACATTTCCCATTACCTGAGACGCATAACCAATTTCAACAGAATTCTAGTGATGACTGTGTGAGGAATTCTCAATATCTTTCTGTTTCATCTAGCCAGAATGATATTTGCTCCCCGCTTTCTCAAAACTCTCAACAGATGCAGCAATTTTTTCATCCGCATCTATCAAACTCAAATTCTCAAAATCGTTTTAG